TAATCTTAGCTCAGATAGGCTGCGACCCTTTTTGTTGTGTTATATGTATCATGTGTACCCAACTTAATGAATCCGCTCTGTTTCCCCACCCCTCTGGTGCTGATGCTGATTTTCAAGGCTCCCTTTGTCTCCTGTGATCCTCCCCGCTCATGAATCAACGACCGTGATGTCCTCAACAGAAACTTTCCATGAACCGCAGAGCTGATGTTTCACATCATTTCCAGTCACAGTGAAGTCAGCTGATGAGGTTTGATAAACATCTGCATGACACAGCCATAGTCAACGCCGCTCTGAAGTCTCAGGGTCATGACTTTCACAGTGACTACAAGCTTTTGTGATCAATGCGGTAACTCACTGAAAGACGCCAGGCAGGCTGTTTGTGGCAGGAGCACTCTGATTGATGTGTAATTTACACACTCACCACCAGGTGGAGGCGCTGAGTTACACGACGGTCACTGGGGTCTCAGAGACTTGTTGTGCTGTTCTGCATCTTCAGGCTGCTGCGCAGTAACTGGTTTTAAGGGAATAACAGAGTTGATTTGGGTGAAAACAAAAAATGACTGCAGGGGAAAAACGAGGGCCGTGATGACAGTACTGGCTTGTTGACCTATTAAACAGTGCTGTTACCGACCCAATGGTGACACAGCGCAGAAGGCGTAGGTGGGAGAAAGAAAGACGAGCGTAATGAGAGTCATCTTCAATGAAGGACAGCTGCTCTCAGTATTTACCGAGCCATCACCCCACCACCCCCATGTGCAGCCACATACACAGGCTGTGCACACAGCAGAGCAAACCACAGAGTTGTTTTTTAGAGTGGGGGGGTTCCCTCGCATGTGTGCGTGTATTTTCCAACAGGTGCTGCTTTTGATTAAAGGTCGGGGAGCCTGGCCGGGTGCTGATGTTTAACATTTTGGTTAAGGGGCAGCTGCCATCACTACAGCTGTGCTTTTACTTTACATGAAGTCACTTCACCATCTCTGGGGCCACAGGCTCCGTGTGCACATGTGCACGTGTGTATGTGTGTGTTTTAATGTGGCAATCTTTACAGATTCTCACTGTGTGTGTGTGTGTGTGTGCACCGTCACACATTCTCACTCTGATGCCTTCCCATGCCATTCATTCCCACTTTTAGCTAAAAGCACTCTTCCAGTGGGATTTACTGCTTTTTTCCTAACACTGCTGACAGATATCTTCCTGCTTTCTAGTTTCCATTAAAGCCGTGGGGGGTTCACTGTCACTCCACATCTCCCTTTTTCCCCTCTCTCTCTCTTTACATATTTATATATATTTTTACTTCGCTGCCTGAGAGGGAGAGAGAACAAGCACACCTTTCCCCACCTTTCTCCCCCTCTCTCAAGCCCCGAGCCAGGTACAGCTGCTTATTATGGGGGTTGCCATGTAAACAGAGTTGCAGTAACTAGACAGAAGCATCCAAAAAATACACACAAATGAGCACACGCGATCAATGCAAGCAAGGCACCGACTTTACCTCTTCCAGATGGCTTGTTTGATGCAGTCTGACTCATGGGCGACTTGTCTGCATTGAGGCCAACAAAGCTTTTCTGTTGTTATACAGTGAACTCAGCAGGAAGCCAGAGCTTCCTCTGTATCTGGTACTGGAAATGTTTGAAATAACAACTGACACTCTGATCATTATTCACGCATCGAAGCTAGTACGAGGGGTTTAGGAAACGGCTTTGAAAACATGCCATCTGTAGGAAAAAAGTTAACAAAGCTGCAGTCATCAATGATGTTCAGGTGCATTCTTGAATCCTCCTGATGAGTGTGGCTTTGCTTACTATTGAAAGTTTTATTGGAGTTTTATCTCAGATTTGAACTTTCAGGGCATCTTTACTACTCACCAGACTACAGAGGAGCGTATCTCAGTCTGCTGTTGCCCTGGCATCGCCCCAGTAACTGCCACGCCAAGCTGGCATCTGTTTATAGAAGCAATCGTCTTCTCCTCCCACTGGGCTCCTCTCATTTTTCAGCTCCTCGAAGGACAGGACCCTCTTTAGCGTGGTGGTGGACTGGGTTTCTTTAAGCGACAGACTCTTTGTCTTCTTGCTGCAGTGCAACATTTTATTAACAGCTCGCTATTCAAATGTATTACAGTTCAAAAATGTACAGAAGGCCCGAAGGCCCAGTATTCCTACTCTGGATTGAATCAATGTTCCTAATTACTGCTGTTTTTTTAGGAGTTTTTTTTTTTTTTTTTTTTTACAACAAATACACAGCTCTGCCAAGACTAACTTGATGATTTAATTATTCTGTGGAAAATAATGCACATGTTTACCACTGATTAATGAAAAACATCATCTTTGCTCATAACACAATGCCACGTTTACTAGAAAGAAGAGGCGCTGTGGCTGAATTGACACCACAGGAGGCCCCGAAGCTTGCACCGATATCTGGAAACAACATGTCCTTGTAAAAACTTCCAGTCACACACACAGACACACACACACACACTCACGCATACACACATTTGGGCTACCACATACCATATCCAAGGCATATGTTGTGCAAAAAAAGCAGATAAAAATGATTCTCAGTGCTCTGCATGTGTTGAGCGCGAGTGCACGATTGCTATGATGTGAATGAAGTTCTCTAAAGGGCGAAAAGCATTCCCCTCTTCACCCAGTGTGACAGTTGTTACAGCAGATTGGATTAGAGCTGTCTGGGCTTGCTGGGGCTTGCAAGGATATGTGGTGGAAGGAAGTGTGCATTGCTGTGTTTGTGTGTGTCTGTGTATGTCTTTCTAGCTTTGTGTGAACATTTTTTTTCTTCATTTTTTGCTTAAAACCATTGTGATAACCACTTGATTTCAGGGTTTTGTGTAGAATCGGGGTGTAGCTCACAGTGAGGTTTGGGTATGGGGTTGTTAAAAGTCAAGGTGAGGGGTAAGTGTCCTCACACTTATACAAAGCTGCTACGGCGACAGGCCTGGGCGCTGTGCTGAGTGTGCATGCATGTTCGTGGTTTTGCATGCATCAGCTGTGCACGTATTAGTCGTCTGTGTGTGCATGCATGTGTACGTGTGCACAGAAAGGCTCAGCGTGTAAGTGGTGTGTATTTTTATGCCAGGCTGAGTAGAAATCCACCACACACATGCTGGGCAGGATTGGCTGCGTGGGTGGAGGGTGTGTCCCGAGCAGGATTCTCCTCGTGTCTCCATCTTTATTTGTTCCCAGATTATGTTACCGGGTGCTATAGTGACTGGTATAGTGACTGGTATAGTGACACGTTTTATTTATAAGTACAACGCTGACCTCTGCTGGAGGAAGTGATACACAATTGAGACATTGTAGGGTTCATATCTCCAGGAAAACACACTTCAAGTAAACATATTTAGGTGTATTTATAGGCTAAGTGTGTGGGGCTGTAGTAAGACGAGAACAACCCCTATGAAACTTGTGAGTAAGGCAGTGATTCTGATTCTGTTCATCTAGGCAAAAACCAAAAATTAAAAATTGAAGCTTTTGAAAACATGTCCCACAATTTTCAAGTTCTCCGTATTAACCAAAGTTATTCGCTGACATTTTTCCGGTTACATAATTGTTTTCACGGTTCACTGATGGG